AATGCTCTTTGAATGCCTTTCATCCTATCGGATTTAAAAGTAATTTTCTTAGGAGGCAACACATAAAAAATATATAATTGGATGCAAGAAAAAAATCACTCCCAATTTTCACCGTTCTCGACCTCTATAACTACGAAGGCCAAAGAAAATAAGCTCCCATCTGTATCTACTCCTATAGCGACAAGCAATACACCCTTATATTTACCGTATAAGTGTCTCATCAATGCTAAGGATTGGCCGACAAAATTTAAATCCCTCGATCGAAGGACCAAATACCCAAAATATAGAGGTGAATTTATGAACTCTCGGATTGACCTCTTTGATTATGAGTTTGTATTCAGATCCAGGATTGTTTCTTTTGATCGCATCAAGATATTAAGGCAGTGTCACGTAAGACTTCTCACAATCACCAAATATTTTTGTCATCGCAATTCTCCTTGCATTCCACGTTTTGATATATGATATTTCAATCCACTTATCATGTGACACTCTATCAATTATGTCATCGGGCTTTAGTTCAAGCTTCTTCTTTAATTTTGGCATAATCAACCCAGCTATGTAAGAGGCGGAGGCACCACTGTGGTCTCTCTCGAACATTGGATTATTACATGTGTGAACACCATAATATTTTGTGATCCTAAAATACCAATTATGTTTTTTTCCGGCAAATGCATATAACTTCCAAGGACATGTGTAATCAGATTCATTCCCCTCTGTCCGACCTTGCCTTTGTGTATTCATAAAACATATTGTCTCATAACTTGTGCGATTGCTTTTAATTTGCTAGAATTTGACCAACTTTTTTATTGAGTGATCACGAATAGCATCAACCAATTGGTCTTTAGTCTTAAATAATTTACCAACTCTGAAAGGGAGCTTCTCATCATCTCCTCTATTGGATGAACTTTCGCCAATGCGCATATCATGTACCATGGAAGGACGAATCCACTTATCATTCTCAAACTCGTCGGGGGTGGTTCTTTGTACTCAACATATTCATTATTAACATAAGCTTCATCTAGCCAATTCAGATTCTCTTCATCATCTTCACCCACAAATTGCATGTTGTCAATTGGTGCACTATCTTCATCTTCACCATCAGAGGCGTCGCTTCTTTCATCCTCTTCATATGAAGGTGCACCACTGTGATATTAAAATTGAGTCCGTTGCATTCTACTTGAAGAAGAAAGAAAGCCTTCAGACTCAACTCCCAAATCTAACATGCGTGAGAATTCTCCTGGAGGGTTGAATATTTGGCCCGTACTATGTGACACCGTTTCAATAAACAATTCTACCGTTGATTGTGACTTGCTCAAATTAAACAAAATACTCATCGAATGATCGTTTGAGATCTCAACTACGGACGTTCTATTATAAGTTATCGGCCAATTGCATATTATTCTTAGTCGATACACTCGTGGGTCAATTATCGTAACTCGATGCAATTCATTAACCAAGTCAAGGTAACTATATGATTCCGATATCATTAACGGGATTGTCACCCCTCTGACGTACATTGGCATATTATTCATTCCATAATTAATCGTTCCACCATAAGAGCAAGCAATAAAAATCATATTGTTCAACCTACGTAAAACAAAATTATATCATTTAAATGCAAAAAATTTAAAAAATATTATCAATTACAACCCTAAACCCTAAGTAGAACCCTAAAACCCAATTACAACCGTAAACCCCCAAATCCTAAACCCTAAAATTGACCCCCAAATCCTAAACCCTAAAATTGAGTATTATATACCCCAAATGTTTAATTTCAACTACAACAAGAATAAATTTTCTAAATAAACCACTACAAATAGAGTTCAAACACTATAAATTCGTTTTGGAGAGAAAATCCTAGATTTCTACGTGTTAAAAGAGGAGAGAAGGAAGAGAAAGTACCTGTTAGATCTTTCACGATGAAATTCCGCACAAAAATGGCGTTGAAATGCGAGATTTTTGGCTTGGGAAACGACAACGACGGAGAGAGGTGACTGGGAACGAGCTGAGAACGTGGAATAATAGCTGGGAACGGCCTGGGGGGTTTATATAAGTGGCGGGACCCAGAACAAAATAGTCGGGTTTGCTAACCCCGACTATTTTTCTTAGCCAATTTCGACTCGTCGGCTGGGTTGGGTGGATAGTCTCTGCCATATGATCGGGTTTGGGAACCCCGACCATTTTGAAATACTGCTTTCAAAATGGTCGGGGTTATCAACCCCAACCTATTAGACAATGCCCTAAATTAGTCAGGGTTGGCAACCCCGACTATTTAGAGGCGTCATTAAAAAAATCGACCCATTTCATGGCCACGCTGCTGACGTGGCCACGAAATGGGTCGGTTTTGAGAAATAAAATGGGAGTGGGTCGATTTTTTTTATTAAAAAAATTAAATGAGTTTATTTTGAAAATTTGTTCGTTTAGGTAAGGTTTACTTATTTTATCAATAATTAATTTATTCATTTATTAATAATTTATTGATAATTATTAATAAAGTAATAATTTATTAATATTAATTAATTTATTACTAATTATTATTTTATTAATATGAAATGAATTAATCTCAATATTACTAATTAATAATCGCAAATAATGTATTATATAAAAATATTGTAATAAAGTATATTTCTTTCTATGAGATAACTAATTTTGAGATATTAATTAACTATTTTATTAATAATAGTATTTTATTAATATGAAATTAATTAATTAATCGCAATATTAGTAATTTCACAAATAATGTGTTCTATAAAAATATTTTAATCAAATATATTTACTATTATAATTAATTAATTATTTTATTAATAAAAGTATTTTACTAATATGAATTTAATTAATAAATCTTGATATTAGTATTAATAATCACAAATAATGTAATATATAAAAATATATTAATCAAATATCTTTATTATTATGAGATAACTAATTTGTAATTAATTAATTAATAATAATATTTCATTACAACGAAATTAATTAACTAATCTCCATATTGTTAATTAATAATCATAATTAATTTGAAATAATTAAATTTAAATTAATTACTTTTTCACATAATTAAAAATTCTATTGTTATTAATTATTTGGTTAATATAAAATGAATTAATTATTCACACTATGGAGTTACAATAATATGTCCTTTTTAGTCATTTGACATTTAGCATAACCTTATAAGTTATTGGTTTACCAAACAAATAACTACTTTAATATCCGTATGAGTTAAAGGGTTTACAAAACAACTTTTTTATTTTCTTAGATACTTATAAGGAGCTTTGAGAATAAATAATAAGTAACCTACAAGGATTTAAAAAAATATGTAGTTGTCGAACATGCTCTAAACCCTTGATTTTTAATAAGGTTTTTGAATCCTGTTTGAGACAGCATATCCTAATGGGAATCTTCTGAGATTTCAGACCTTGGTTGAGACATGTTGAATTTTCTGACCCAGTCCAATTAGCTGAAATTTTGTGAGCTAACTGAGTCTGCACATATATTTAAATGTGATTGATTGAGGCCCCATACCCATGGTTATTTAACTTTAATGCTGTTAAAAGGTTTATAAATGGATCAATACAGATATGTATGGACATAGTTATTAGACCTGCCGTAGTTTTAGAATTTGCCTGAAGCTTTTGAATAACGTAAAATCTATTTACACCTGATTGTTATCCTAAATTTTTTCAACCTATCTGTCAGCATTTATTTTCACCTGTAGCACTAACATAACATCTATTTGTTTGGGGAAAGACAAGTTTGCGTGCAAAATATCCATTATCTTTTACTATGTCAGGACTTGCCTCCTAATGGTATGAGGTGAAAACTCATATTTAAAACACTCATGAATATGAAACAACTTTTACAGTAATTGGAAGCATTTTATATTATTATTATTTTAGCTTGTAACATGTTTTTGTTTTTAGTGAAAATCATGCATTGCTCACATTGTTTTAAAAAACCTCCGCCTAGCCCGCTTAGGCGTACGCCTAGGCCTAGGCGGTACCTAGGCCGCCTAACTAGCGCCTAACGTCTAGGCGGTATTTAGGCTGCCCACCTAGATTTTACGAGCGTTTAGGGGAGCATTGTCTGCTTACGTGGATTGCATCCTGTAGGCATTGATTGTGATTTTACGTGTCGTAGCCTACACGTCCTCCAAACTCCATTAACCTCCAAATATGAACACCTCCACTACCTCCTCCGACCTTCAGCAAAACCTCATCGATCATCACTTAAATGAAGAAAGAAAAAAAAAACGCCCAGAAACCGCTTAGGCGTCCGCCTAGGCGACTAAGCGCTGGGCGCCGAGTCCGACGCCTAGAAGCGCCCAACGTGTAATGTAACATTGATTGCTCATTTTTTCCCCTTCATTATTTTGCTCATTCTGAATAAACATTAGTTAATACAGTGTCTCCAATAGATTTTTCACAAAAGTATGCTCTTTGAAAGAATCTTCTCAGAGAAAAGTAGAGCACTCGATTGTGGGGTACTTACAGTTAATAATAATTGAGGATTAGGGCATGGTAATCACCTTCTGAGATTATACAATCATTGGAGGTTGATAGCTACAGCACATTGATGATTTCAATTATGTGAACTTGATCGGTGAAGGTGATTATTGGCTACGTTATTAAAACGTTTATCCCTTGAGAGTAAGGTTGACGCTTTCAATTCAAACTGTATTGGGGTTACAGCATCAGTTAGGTTTTATTTCAATGTCCGGATAGAGCTAGAGCTGCCATTAGCTGAAATAACTTTATCAGATCTATTCTGCAAACTATCACACAATATAGTATTAGTTTGAGTGCTCGGAAGAAGAGCAGCTATGAGTTAGTTCATTAGATGACTTAGAGAAGCAGGTTAGAACATTACATGATGTACCATGTAATAATAGCAATGAAAAATAATTTCTTGAACTGNAGCAACTATTTACTAAGAATACTATCTTTAGGTTATTCCTGCATTGTATTACATTAAATATTTTGCAAAAATGATTTTCTTCTTTGCAGGCAGCGTGGAGGTGATGATAAATGGAAACATGATCTTTATGATGATGTCAAAGGGCCTCAAGTTTCAAGTATAATTGTAGTGACAACAGCTGTGATAACAAAGAGTTGTTTCTTGCCTGTTAAAACTTCTAGATAATTTATTGTGCCTGGTATTTCTGTACAGAGCCCCAAGTTGGTTCGACAGATCTCCGACTCAAGCTCCAAAAGAAAGCTTCGCTACAAGCGCATCAAAGTGGCAAGGAATCAGGAGTTCGAGATCTTCGTGAAAAGTTATCTGGTATTATGAACTCACAACCTATAGCTGTTGATCCACCTAAAGCTAAAGCAGCACTAGTGACAACATCAGAGAGCGCTAAACCTGTGAAAAGAAGTGCCCCACCAATTGAAGCAATCCTAACAGATGTGAAAAAAGTCTCTGCCTCAGCTTCTTATAGTAAAAAGCCCCAGAAAAAGGTTGGAGCTACTTGATTTTGTGTCAACGTATATACTGCATCCATTAATTTTATGTGCATTGTTCTAGAACAACATTCTACTGTGTTTGAAATTATAACATATAGTCCATCCATATTGAAACAAAGTTCTGATTCTTCTGAATAATTACAAAATGAGGTACCAAAAAGAAGGGAATGGGAAATAGTCCTGTCTAATATGAAAACTGAGCAAAAAGACATGTAAAAAGATGACATAGACAATGGAAAATTCTAGAAAAGTGGATGGAAATTTTCTCTATGTATGCCAAATTTTGTATGTGGATCACGTATTTTGTTTGCATAAATACATGTTCAGGAAAATGATGGTCTAATGTTAACAAATGTTATTTTTTGGGTCTATTTAGCTTATTTTAAATTACTTAACAAATAAATAAGTCCTCTTACAGAGATCTATGGCTTAATCATGGATATGATTAACAACTCATCAAAAATGAAGTACTACAACAACAAAGTCAATCCCAAATTATGAGGGACAGAGAAGAATGTAATATTCACAGTTTAGTGAAGATCATATTAAAGAATTCTTTTCAATAAAATGCAAAAAGAGTAAAGAAAGAATTTAAAATATGTTTAGACGAGTCCAAAAAGATCTTATCAGAAATACATGCTTTTTGCTCATCTTATTTTAGTTGAATATTATGATACATTGCGTATGTCAAGATCGAAGTCACCTGCTTGTTGAGTGTGCCAGCCATAATATTACATATAACCTATGCATGATATACTGCTTCTGTTGAGATTGAAATCACGTGTTTGGTAAGTGTATTGGTGACATATAGCATGACGTTACCAAGGTAAAAGGATCACGATGTCGAATCCAAGGATACAAACTGAATTATGTAGTGTACCTGAACCATGTTGATTCATGTTTTGACGGTTATCGCTCTATTGGTTCTAGCTTTTTGCAATATTTCTTTTGATGTTGATTGCTCAGTTTTCATATCTCTGCTTGGTGTTGATTGCATGTCTTTGTCATTTCTTATTCATTGCTCTTTTGCACATTTCATATTTAATGTTCTTGCACATTATTATCTTTTGTGTAGTCTTTGCATGTTTCTTTGCGATAATTTTTAGTGCTTGAAAGCTCATAACCAATTTATTACAAATGCAGCCTGACTTGACTGTGGATGGGCTGCTATGTTCTCTTGGTCTGGAGAAGTATTCAATACAATTCCAGGCAGAAGAGGTACTGCGTGATGCAACCTTTTACTTCTCTCCCAGTATAATCAGCACTTTCTGTGGTTTAATATTATTTTCGATTTTGAGTTGGCATTTGAAGGTGGACATGTCAGCTCTTATGCACATGGATGATGATGATCTTAAGGCTCTTGGAGTTCCAATGGTAAAGTCACCAAAAAGTTATTGTGCAAATGTTAAAATCTTTTGTGCAAGCTTTCAATTATTGAGTTAGGTAGCCTTGCTGAGAAGTTTGATTGTTTGATTGATATCCAGTTTTGGAAGCCACATTGTGATACTGGTGCATGGTCCTATTAAAGAAGATTTAGATTAACCAAGCTTTGCTACGAGCAGTTTAAAGTTTAAACTACTTTTACTTGAATGTCAATTAAGGGGTTTGAACTCCTTTTTCCCTTTTGGTTGACTCCTCTAGTCAAAGGGATCATTCAAGGTTTCTGACTTAGTATCATAAGGACAAAATGTGTAAAATATGAGGTTAAGTTTAATTCTTATTTATGTGAGGTGATTACATTACCATGGAGTTAAGATAGACACAAATTTGACAGAAACTTATATCGATAGTAGTAAGATGAGGTTGTTTTTGGTGGTAAAACGTTGATCCATCTTTTGCGGGGGACTTGAACTTTTCAGAGAGATTTTTCATAGCTAACCCTATGGTGATGTGAAAACACTGGGATGAGTTCGATTTAGTCTTGCAGTCTGAGTTGACCTGTCATAAGATTGCCACAAGACTTGAGCACCTAACACATTTGTGCATGGATTTTATCTTACATAATAAATTTAAGAACTCAAAATTCATTTGTGAAGATAACCAATTCTTTCTACAATTCTTTTTATTTGTTAACTGTTATTTCTTGTTATATTACAAGTAGTATTAATCGAGATTCCCCTGTTCTTTTTGACTGGTTTTATTGGCTTCAGGGACCAAGGAAGAAGATTTTACTGGCACTGGAGTCCAGAAAGCAGGGATGACTGCATGGACACTAACTTAGCAGAAAATGGTGGTTGAACTGAATGAAGATTTAAGCTTATGCTCCTGTCACGCTATCTTGGAGATGACTTGAAGGCCTTTGATCCACTCGCTTTATCCCTTCTGCAGTCCTGAGTCAATAGCATCTAACTTTATACAACCCACCTCAGGTTTTGTTGAAGAACCCCTCGTATTTTATGAAACTTGCAGTCTGGAGAAAGCATTGAAATCTGTATGGCAGGGATCTTGATGTTAATGACAATTAGTTTTCACGTGTCTCTTCAGGTTTTGATTTTGAACTTTGGGATGTTCTATTAATTACCCTCCCTGAAGCATAATAGGATAACATGCTAGTTTATGCTCTCTAGGGGTTCCATAAAGTGCTTGGCGGGTTTTCTGTCATCAAAAGACTGTTATCTAGGCATGGTGGATATTGATCTGAAGTGCTAAAATGCCGGTACTGCTGGTGAATTTATACCTGGGCTCCTTTCCCCTGGAGCCATAGACCGGCCATCATTTACCGCCGCGAACATAGGTTGGGCATCTCAGCAGCTCTGGCTTACGGCATAGGAACTGTTTACTAGTCTCTCTTAGTAGTTTTTATTTTATTTTTTTTTTCTGTACGCCTCAAAATCCTCTCGCTTCTCATTTGAATGGATTTCTCTCTCCACATTTAAATGGACCAGGGATCATCTCCGAAATGGACCGCATTTTCATCCAAGCCTGATGACTTTTGCAGCGAAATATATCGTACTGACCTCAAAAGAAATACCCTCACTGAACTCAGAAGATGCTCTCCCAGACAAGTGTAATAACCGTGATGCTTGTGCTGGCTCATTACCTGTGCGTCTCTTCTCGTTTATGACATTATAAACAACTTGTATATCATCATTACTGCAACTAGACTCTCTTAACTAATGCACATAGGGAGCGCCCAAGCTCTCTAAACCTCAATGTGAACAACCATTGAAATGGTGACAGTTTGATGAGTTCATGACTGATTATAAATCTGGCATTTGTTTCTTTGCTTCAACATTTAGATACAAGGAAAGCTTGATTTTTCATGGAACATAAACGGGCTTGACTATAAATATTAACTCTTAACTCTACTCAGTAGTTAATGGGTACAATATCAGCCCATTCGATTGCTCTTCCAGGACAATAGTTCGAGTACAAACATGTTTGCCTTTCAGCCCATAACCACTCATGATTATTTTCTACTTCGTGCTCTTGCTCGATACACATGGATGCTATGCTCATTAATACAAAACCAAATGATGGTAGCGACAAAATCTGGAAAAAAAAACTTTCATATAATAAAACATTGGACAGCTATCCGACTCAGAAGTAGGTATATAATCATATGGATCATCGCTGGAGGAGGTTGCCACGTCATACAAGGCCTTTGAATAAAGAATCAGAATATGTTGCATATCAGGAAGCAATTGTCTGCCCAGCGACAAAAGAAAGATACTTTGCTTTCTCCTTCTTGTATCGTTTAATTTCTTTGATGGCTGCCAGAAGCACGTGCAATGATACTGGTGCAAAAAATGGCTGCAAGAAAATATCAGACATGAAAAGATGTGATTTTTCAGTCAGCAAAGTACAGAGCATAAGCCTTCTCTTCCGCAGAGAGCGGCAGAATCGAAATCTCCTATCCAATATTCTCATATACCTTTTTTGTATACAATTAAACAATTGAAAGAATGTTGATCGGGTTGTTCGTTCTATTTTAGTCTTAATTAGTTCAAGGCCGGGTCGGGCCCGACCCGGGCCCGGCCGGGTCAGAGCGGGCTAGTCCTATTTTTCTAATTTCCGGGTTTGGGACTGGACCTAGTATGACCCATGACCCTAGTATGGCCCATGACCCGCCTAGGTGTGGGCCGGGCTTGACCCACGAGTCAAAGACTTATGGCCTTTTGGCTTTATTGACAGCTAGCTGCAGACCCAAAAGGCTAAAGGAATAGCTAGACTAACCAAAAAATATATCATGGCCGGGGCGAGTCAGATCGGATCGGGCATTGGTCGGGTTAGCGTGGGCCGGGGCTACTTCTCTAACCTCGGTCTGGAGCTGGACTCGGTCTGTGCTGTGACCTGGGTATGTCATGGGCTGGGTCAGGCCCGACCCACTACAGGTCGGGCCGGGTCGTGATCCATGGCAGCCCGCTGGTCGACCCGGCCCACGCCCAACCCTAGTCTTAATACAAGCAGACAACTACTTGGTCTTATTAATTTTAAAATATAAACATAGTTACTATATATTCTAGGTAAATTTCTTATTCATCCAGTACAACAGTTGTGTTCTAGAAGGCAAGGTTTTAAATATCGGAAGTCGGGTTCATGTCGGATGGCTGAAATCCATATCGGATAAAGGGAATCGGGGATATATCGGGGGTCATTGACTAAATATCGGATTGCCATATCGGGTAGTGCGCATATGTATAATATCATGTCCTAAATATAATCTAAGCATTCATAAATTCAATATAAGCATACTTTATAAATTCTATAGACTAAACATATAAAAAAGTAAATAATATATGGATTTGGGTTCATAAATTCTTTCTATCGGGTTCATAAGGAACCCTTAAACATGAGAACGAGTCAAACGGGTTTGGGTATTTATCACTAAACTCAAACCCGATAATAAAAAACAGATCTTAAAAAAAGTACCATATCAGTCGATTTTTTAAAGCTAAAAAATAGGCCGATGTGCCCGATATGACCCTGATATTTCCGATTTGGCCCTGAAAACCAATATACGAGTTGAAAACGTCCATGTCGTGTCGGTCAAGCCCTCAAACCGATATGTCGGACGACATGTCGGACATGTCGGCCGATATTTAAAACCTTGCTAGAAGGTGCAGAAGAAGATATCATGCATGCTGATAAGAGGAGGCGGCTTACTAACCATGTAGATGGCAAAGTAGTGCTCAATGGAGGAATAACTGATTGACATGACAGACGGATGAAAAAACGCATCTTCAGCTAATGTCCTTGCTTTCCTGGAGGATGCTGAAGACATGAACAAACAAGTTTATCAAACTACTACATTTTACTAGCTATTCGAAGGGTACTATTGATAAAATGAAAAGATGAGGCATATAGCAGGAGATACCAGCTGAAGCATCATACTCTCCAAGAGAAGCATTATTTTGAGCTAAACTTGCTGCTTCGAGTGAGAGCTTTACCTGAATCAAGAAGACAAAAACTAAACTAATGATTTCAAAATATAGGATGGCAACAGTTGACAAAGTGAGGAAGTAATTTGGTATCCAGTCGCGCTGTATTGCACTGTACATTTGTAATTCCTGAACTCTTGCCTGAATTAGATAATACCCCCCCTATCATGTTTTTACCAGATACTCGGCTTCTGGAGACTCGAATTTTATGAAAACTATGAAGAACATAACGTTTGAACACATTAAGCATTTTCAAACCAGCCAAACTTCTTAGGAAGCAGGCAGAGAATGAAATAGCTATAAGGACCAAACTTCCTTAGTAGAAGGAAGGCATTTCATCCCTAAACAACATTGAAGCAGGAAAAATCTTGACATGATGACATACAAAGACCAAGACTACCCCCACTTACTAAACCTACACCTGCACTCGAGAGATATCCATCCTTACACTAATTTATATATATTATATATATTTATTATATATATATATATATATAATAATATAATATATATATATATATATATATATAATATATAATATTATATTCTCAACAGGAGAGCTTCTGTGGTCCGTCAAACCATCTCTACAGCAGCATATCTCCGGACACAAAATGCCGTATATGACTAAGCTTTTTATCTATATAAGTTGGCCCTCTGAAGAAAACTGAGACATACGAGGACAACTTTGACATGCAGCATGGAAGAAATATATGTATCTGATTAACCAGGTAGTGGGCATTGGGAATGCTAACATCATAAAGGAGGTGTTTAGATGATTCAAGTACTCTACACAGAATAGAGTTCCTAGGGCTATCGCTCCTATAATAAAAGTTTCTTTATGAAGGCAATGCCATTTATATCTTTAGTAATCATAAAACACATCATGTCAAAAAGCTCTAGATAAGATCATACTTTAGTGACATAAGAGTTAATGAAACAGAGCTGTGGAAGGAGCTGCTAACCTTGTAGGGGAGGTCGAGATACCCTTGAATTCTATCAATAGGATAAGAAAGTTTAAACTAAAGAGGAAATTATTTCAGGATTCATGTAACCAACCAACCCCCACAACAAAGGGGGATAAAGGCTTTGTTGTTGTGTGTGGTAGCTGTTGGGGGTTTAAATTACCACCACCCCAAATTACCAATGACCCCTCTAACTGGCTAAAATACAAATAAGTTGCCCACTATCTCTTACACACAATATATGCTACACATGACTTATGAGCATACACCATACAAACTATACCCATATTATTATAATTATACCAAACTGCAATAGTCTAGCCTCAAAAGTCTATGTAACAGCATTAAAAATAGATGAACTCAGAGAAGCAGGGGAAAAAGCAATACATCCATAGTTGGGCTAGAACAGGGTCTTGATAGACTGATAAACCCAATTGTGAGCCTATACACTTGTAGAGGTCAATCAAACTTACTTAGTGGCTGGGATACTGAATGTGTCTAGGCATCAATGATTCAGCGGGTATCCTGCAAGAGTCTATGCCTAGTCTACAAGCCATTTATAGAGTCAACAGTTAATCACACGTTTTAAAGGATATTCATGGGCAGTTATATCTGCATCACCAGAGAACTAAAGTTCTTGTGTACTTAGACAACCTAGAAAAAAACCACAAACATTAACAAGAAGCCTAGATGATAAACCTTGTCGATAAGTCATGTCTAATGTCATCAGTGATCTAAAGTTCTTATGCCCACTACCCACCTCCAATGGAGAAGGATAACACCAGCATGCATCTGAAGGACATGAGTGGCATGGCTACCCACGAAGACATCTCAAGGCTCTTTTGCAAACATAACCTTTTTACCCACTTCTGTGAAGGACTCTGACTGATCACAAATGGATAAGTTTTCTGCAAAATCTAATAGTTCTAACCCGAAGGTGTCGATTCCAGCCTATAATAAAATTAAGAAGCATACGGCATGAAATGATCTCCTGAAAAGGTAGTTTGCTCCCCTGACAATAGGGGCCAAACTAGACCTACAGTTAAATCTAATAGGTGTAACCAGATTCCATTCACTTTTATCTGGGGAACGGTTCCATTGGCCTTTTCTGCCTGCAATTGCATATCCACCATGAGGTAAGGTTGTTAAGGAAGAAACTATTTACAAACAACTACATGGTAAGTACCATTACAAAAAGAGATGAGAACAAATACATAGCTGTTTTTAAGCATGTGGCGAGCCAAGCTGGGAAAGAGGACAGTGAGGAAGAAAAGCAGGAAGAAGATTCTGTCTTAGTAAGACAACTTGATGGAAATGAAATACAGCTAGGTACTTGATGAAGATAATGATGGCTATACCACAGCTTAGGTTAGTTACCTGCTCTGAGCATAAATCAACATAAGAAGATGCTAAAGTAATAAAAGGATAAGAAAATGAATAAAAATCATAAACCATCTGTTTTTCCAAGTGAAATTACTTCTAAATCCTAGGAAAATATCTGAAATGCATATCTGATTGAAATTTTTTAATACATTGTAAACCATCTTATTTAATTACTTCAGTCTGAGAAACAAACTCCTAGCATATTCACAATTTTATCAAAATAAATATCAAATTTAATTGGATAGTGAACAAAAGTGCTTTATCATGACCTCCACGTGGACAAGTGAAACAGTTTCAATATTAAGATAGTTTGATGTGATATCAAGTTTTCTCAGTCATGACAATGGAAATGAAACAACGCTCAAGCACAAGTGCACAACTGATGCAGGAAAACTCAGTCTCCCAGAGCTGAATTTTGATTAAAATGCAAATCAATTAGAACTTAGAAACCAGCAAAACCACCACGGACCTTAAGGCTGTCTTTGGTTAAAGTAAAAGAAAAGAAAATGGAATAGGAAAGGAAAAGAAAAATAAAAAGAAATAAGATATTTTTTAATGTTTGGTTAGGTAGAAACTTGTAGAAAGAAATTTGAAGGAAAATAAATAAAAATAAGATAGAAAAAACCATAAACTTACCCTTGTACATAAAAATTAGGGGAAAATGCTTCCAGCCCTCAAAACAAAAAAAAACGTGCTCTCCCCCAAGACTTTTTCAATGGGTGTTTTGTCCTTAAAAATAAATTTTTTGTTCTCTGAGCCCCAAAACACAAAACCCAAGAGATTAAAATATGTGAAGAACATAATACCCTTTTCTCTCTTTATCATGATGTTACTATGATGATAGTTGAAATGATTGATGGGTTTATTATTTTTGTTTTTTATTATTTTTGTTGTTGATGAGGGGAGCTAAGTGTTTTTGTTTGTATTGGGAGATTGTTAAGGTCACGGGTCAGTTGTTAAGGTTATGGATCGGTTGTTAAGGTTACGGGTCAGTTGTTAAGATTATGAGTTGGTTGTTAAGGTTATGGGTTGGTTGTGAAAGTTACACGTTGGGATATATATGTATATATATTTTGAGTGGCATGAATACTTTGGGTCACTTGGCCTAGTGGTAAAGTTTGGAAGGTTGGACAAGAGGTTAGAGGTTCAAACCCCTACAACAACAATATATATTTACGGGTCTTTGATTGGACTTTTTGTATTCTAAAAATATTTTTAGAATATTCGTTGTTAAGGATAATGGTTGGTTGTGAAGATTATGCATTGGTTGTGAAAGTTACGGGTTGGTTGTTAAGGTTATGGGTTTGTTGTTAAGGTTAAGGGTTGGTTGTGAAGGTTACGGGTTGATTGATAAGAATATGTGTTGGTTGTGAAGATTACGCTTTGGTTGTGAAGTTAACCTACAAAACCAACCCGTAACCTTAACAACAAACCCATAACCTTAACAACCAACTCGTAACCTTCACAACCAATGCATAACCTTCACAACCAACCATTATCCTTAACAACGAATAGTTTAAAAATATTTTTAGAATACAAAGAGCCCAATCAAAGACCCTTAAATATATATTGTTGTTGTAGGGGTTTAAACCTCTAACCTCTTGTCCAACCTCCCAAACTTTACCACTAGGCCAAGTGACCCAAAATATTCATGCCACTCAAAATATATATACATATATGTCCCAACGTGTAACCTTCACAACCAACCCGTAGCCTTAACAACCGATCCATAACGTTAACAACCGATCTGTAACGTTAACAACGATCCATAACCTTAACAACTGATCCATAACCTTAACAATTAACCCGTAACCTTAATAATTAACCCATAACCTTAACAATCTCCCAATACAAACAAAAACACTTAGTTCTACTCATCAACAACGAAAATAAAAAAATAATAATAAAATAATAATCACTATCAATCATTTCAACTATCATCACAGTAACATCATGATAAAGAGAGAGAGAAGGGTATTATGGTCTTCACATATTTTAATCTCTTGGTTTTTATTTTTTGGGGGCTCATAGAATAAAAAATTTATTTTTGGGAGCAAAACACCCGTTAAAAGTCTTAGGGGGAGCATGTTTTTTTTTGTTTTGCGGGCTGGAAGCATTTTTCCCTATTAATTATAAGACCCCATGAACTTTCAGTGTTCTGCAGTAAACCCCTATGACCTTTCAAAATCACACCAAACTCCCATAAACTTTTTAGAATTGCAGAAAACTCCCAAAACTTTTTTGAGTTTTGTAGATAACCCCCATAAATTAGAACAAAAAAACAGCATAAAGAGGCATTTTGAAAGTCCTGGGGATTTCTGCAGAAGTTATTAGGCATTTAGGGCTTGTTTGGATTGAGGGGAATAAGGGAGAAGGAAAGTTAGGTGAACTATTTACCTTGTTTGGGAACATTTAGGAGGTGAACTTATTCATCCTAGTTCTCCTTGGTTTACCCCTTAATAGTATAAAATTTGTTACCCTCCAAATTGGGGTGTAACCAAGGAGAAGGGAACTCCCTTCCCTTCCCTTCTCTCACCTAGTTTCCCTTAGCCTCATTGAAATCCAAACACGCCCTTAGTGTGATTATTAAAACTCATGGGGGTTTATTATAAAGCATTGGAAGTTTATTGGTGTTCAATGTAATTTACCATAATATATCCTATAAAGAGAGTTTTGTACATGATTTTTTCCCACATGTGTAGTGTACTTAAACCTACATAAATGCCCTCGTTGGGCCCATGAAGCTGAATATAATGAAGGATGTTTGTTCTCAGCACAGTAGATAGCGGCATCGAGATAAAATGAGATCGCGGGAGTTGTGGTCGGCTGGCGCCAACAAAATTTTCCTTAACTTTCAGTAGCTTCAGAGGAAGAAACTGAGAACGAAAATTCAGAGCCTTATTTTCTTCTTTGATTCTTATTTTCATTTTCTTTTTATCTTTCCATCAAAACAATACAAATCTATTTCCTTTTATTTTTCTTTTCTTTTCCATCATTTTCAGTCAAACCAAACAGGGCCTAAAAGATTTCAGATTTCATTATATGAGGTTGCAAAGGATTTGGAATTAGTCCCATGAAGAAGACATAAAAGAAGCCTAAGCATCATTCATATTTGGATTAATAAATATAGTGTGTTATATTATTGGTTACTATCTAATTGCTGGGATTTTAATTAGAGTTGGATAAAGTAACAGCTTAAATTTGTCAATTATTTATTCCTTATTTATGATTAAGTGTAATCTGTATTTCGTTGGTTATTCGTGCTTCTCACAAAGGTATATTTAACAGATAGTTGGGATCAAAGTTCAAACTCAGTTTTGGTTTTTGCCTCCTACCGGTTAAGCAACTGTAGCATTTACTGAATAACTAACGAAGCCTAAAAATGCTCTGCCGCAATTACATCTGAAACAAATTTAGTTGCTAAAATAAATTTGATAGGTAATTGATAATTATGCAACTAAATCTGTTTAGGTTAAGAGGACCCCAGAGCCTTATAGTTTATGAACACAAAAAAAAATCACCAACTTCAAATGTAATGCATCTGTGAGACGATATATGTGGGAGGTTTATATGCAAAATAGGAGTTAAAAAAAGCAACTCTTACAGTATAGGCATGGAAAAACCATACAACAAAGCAGGACAAAGGGCAACAATAACAGGCTAAGGTGAATAACAGTTTACAAATGACAGGTTACACATTCATAAGTACTGGACCACACACCAATTTATTATTAAAGAAAATATCAAAAGGCCGATACACATGCATATGCACATTGGTGGGTTTTGCTAGGAGGCTTGTAGGTATGTGCAGACATGCTTTTGTGTCTGCGCATGTGTGTTGTCTGCAGCTATACTTGAACAGATGACAAATATAATATATTCAGTTTATGATCAAGGAAGTGCTTAAATTGAAGTAGCTCTAGTGGCATGTGCATAACTAATAACAACTATATCATCAAAATAACACACCTGTTTTCCTATTTCATCTTTAACAATCATTCTCGGAAGTGATTGAACCTGTTTTTTTCACAATATTCACAAGAGAAGACAAGGACAAACAAGGTTAACATTTGATGCTATTGCATAACAATAGGCAAGCCAGGGGGAAAACTGGAACTTACCAACTTAGAAAGAGATTCAAGTGTAGAGGTGCATGAAATCAGATTAGAACATGCATGATGCCGATATAGAACATCCAACTCCCTGCATAAAAATAAGATGCATTGATTGGTGGCACTCAGTAGTCAGTTCAAACATTTTAAGCTAGAATTAATGAAAATGTAACTTTGTTACATAGGGGGCTTTGAAAAAAATTTCAAATAAAAGAATTTTCTCAAAGATCAAAAACCCCAAATATCTTCAGAATTCTAGTGGAGTGCATTTGTTCTTGGAATCTTAAACTTTTGGTGTTTGCAGAGCAGCATAGTGGATGCAACATTTGTTTCCCACTATTTCACAGTACCCACTCTCATACCATAAAACTAGGTGGAATTTAGTTTATTTGAAAATATATTAGGATACCAAGGAAAATACAAAATCTATTACGTATGAGATTTTTCTCTAGAAGCCTTCAAAATAGGCAAGGAACATTGACACTGGTAATGATCAATATACATATAAAAGTGGATTTAAAATTGGATGATCAATTCAACTAATTGCTTTAAGTTAGGATGTATGAGAAAATTTCACCTAAACAAACTAGCCAAGGAAAATCCATTCTTACCATTCTGTAAAGCCTCTTACACTTGGTAAAAAGTTGAATTTGCGACCCCCAACTACATGAGAGTAATCTGATTTAAAACCAAACAGAAGGCGTAGTTGCCCAACGAAAACCTGAAAAATCTTCTGCATCTCCTGATTCAAGTCGAGGACTGTTAGCCACATCATTTTAGACTATAAGAGTATGACGAAGAACTAGTATAATTAGACAACACGAGAAGGGGAACTTCTAGTATACATGTAACATGTATATTGCAGCATATTTGGAGGAGTTTTTAACTGGGGGCTGTCGAAAGTTGCAAATTTTAGGTTATTGTTAACTCAGGTGAATGGATCGGGTTGAAATCGCACTCTTCCCAACTAGGTCCTAGTCACCAAAGGCCATTTACTTTAAGACAGGGCTGTGTTGGGGTGGTTTTTGAATTCTCGACCTCTATTGAGGCTGGTTTACTGTTGGAGATATTAAGGTTTCGGAGGTTCAGGTTATGCGGTCAAATATATATATATATATATATATATATCATACTCCCTTTAAAAGTACGAGTTCAGGAAAATCTTTTCATGGTTAATATTACCCTTTAACTTTTTTTTTTAATATTACACTGTTATCCTAATCTATAGTAGTTATCCCATCTTCTTTGAATTGGTAATTAAATAATTTATCCTATTCATAATGGGACTTAACATGTTATTGGATAAAGAAGATGCGTTTGATATAATTCCTTTACTTATTTTAGTTCGCAAAAAAAATCTAAAAAACATATACTAGCTAGCACCTAAAAGTTTTTGGACTTTGTAAAAAATATCCTCTAAGTTTTTTAAATTGCAAAAACATCCCTACAAATTCAAAATTTTATTAAAACATATTGAAAATTATAATTTTTACTTATTTCAATTTAATGAGAAATCTGAAAAACAATTGCTAGCTAGAAATTGAAAGTTTTTTCACTTTGGAGAAAGTATCTTGTAAATTTTGAAAATTTGCAAAAAGCACCCTTAAAAATTCAAAATTTATATTAAAAAACCTTAAAATTTTCAAACCTATAAACACACTACAAACCTACAAATAACACAAACAACCCTCAAAATTTTATGGAATTTACAATTAACACTAAACTTTTTATAAATTACAAAATAAAACCCTTAAAATTGTAAAATTTACAAAAGTCCTGATAATTTTCAACCAACAGTACATTAAAAATATAAGAATTACAAATATCCCCTACATAATTTATAATTTAAAGAAAACACCCTTAAAGTTTTAAAAATTATAAACAAACACTCATGATTCAAATTTTACAAAGAATACCCTGAGAATTTCAAACTCATTAGTAAATTAAAAACATATGAATTATAAATAGTCTATAAACAATTTACAATCTATATAAAAGGCCTATAAGTTTAAAAAATTACAAAAAAACCCTAAAATTCATAAAATTTATAAAAAAAACACCATGAGAATTTCTAACCTATAGACACTAAAATGAATATGCAAAATTACTAACCTCTAGGAAATTAAAAATTTATAAAAAGTATCATACCCCCTTTAAAATATAGATTTAGAAAAAACTTTTCATGGTCAATATTACCCATAACTTTTTTGGAGAGGACATAACTAATTGAAAATTTATTAAATTTAAAATTTATAAAAAACACCCTTCAAGTTTAGTACATTGTAAATTACCCCTCCAAAGTTTAAAAATTTTTAATAATTTTTTGTAATTCCTCGATTTCAATGTAATGTTTAATAGTTTTGTGTATTTGTAAATTACAAAATTTTAGGGTGTTTCTTTTACAATTTTGAAAACTGTTAAGGGTGTTTCTTTTGTAGTTTTCTAATTTTAATTGTGTTTTTAATGTAATGCATAGATACGTCAATTAACGATGATATTGAAGAGTAAGTCGTTCTTAAGATGTATTAGGCCACACATCACTATTCCTAGACAGTATAGTTTATATATGCAAAAAAATTCAAACAACCTATATAGTGGTTAAAAGGATTTTGATTTTAATGTACTATTTTTTTATAAATTATAATTAATGTGAACCCACCATATAATTTTAACTATGATCATCGTAATTTTAATACGTTTGATTAATTGACAATATAGGTATATAGATCATATATTACTTTACTTTCTCGCATGAACTAATATTTGGCGCTTAATAATTTAAATTATTATTTTTAATTTTAATATAAAGAGGAGCTCTAATAATATTTATTTATTTACCTATAGAATAATACAATCTCAATTCCTATTTTTTGCTTGAGATTTATTCTATAGTTATGCGTATCAAATTAGTAACAAAAATAATAATTATTCATGCTTAAATTATGATGATTGTAGTTGGTCACTCACTATGAAATTTTCATGAAGGCAAATATATCTTATTTTCTATAGCTATCTGCACTGTCTATGTATATTTTATAAATTAGTTACTAATTTGACATATTAAATTATTTATTTTTTGTAAAAAAAATTTCTTTAATTTTTGGATTGTGTAATCACTATATCACCATTCTTGCATAGAAATGACCTCATTCTAAATGGCTTCAAACCAATGTTTGAGTTGAACTGAAGTATATACTATTGTTACTATGTGTATATATTTTTTTAAGAAAACCATGTCAACAATTTTTCAACAGAAAAGAATATTCTAACCTCTGATATTATAAAAACTAAATATAGCCAATTGAGTGATTAGCAAAAGAGGACTTACATTAGAAAAGAGTGAATATTAGGATAAAGAGGAAAGGTAATGGCATTATCAACAGTGCTACCAATAGAAAACTACAACTACAATGTAAAGTTAATCTATTTTGTGGAACCCAACTATTAGTCATAAGCATCGAGGTTTCCATATATATATATTATAATTTATTAAAAAAAGTCATATAATCTTATATAATAAAATTAATTTAATACTGAATAATAGCATCGTTGTAATAATATCGTTATTAGGAAAAATTATTCATGAACTAGTATGTTATTACTTCTTACGATATATAAGCTATACACTCCAAATTTTTTTTGTTTTCTATAGAGCCAAAAAATTTGAATACGAGCATCTAACATTTTGCTCTCACAACAGCAAAATCCAGTTAGCATATGTAGATATTCTAGATTAGTTATATGTCCTATATACAATACAATTGTCCTAGGCAAGTGAGTTATAATAGTATTTTTTATTCACATCGTTTGGGACAATATTTGATAAGAGACATTGCATCAAAGAAAAAAAAATTATATTTAGAGCACATGGCGAAATATATCATAATATCCTCGCTTTAATTTCGTAAGAAAATAATTTTTCATACTTTCAGTTTTACTTCTATGGTTCAGAGAATGAGCTATAAAATTGAATGAGAATATTAGATAATTTAAATATGAGTGAAACCACAATTAAAAGTTAATATGAATGAGTCAAACTACAACTAAAAGTTTAATGGACATATTGCAAGTAAATTCATATGCAAAATTCATTTACGAATTGAATGATCACCCATCTTTTGAAAACTTCAAGACACTAATAAACAGAGATGTTATTCTAGATCAATGTGTTTATAACTCACAAATAGTAGATCACGTGGCCACAGTCTGGGTTGAAGGAAACAATGACAATGTTTTATTTGAGAGAGAGATTATTGAGTTGATCAATCCCACAAAAAAACTTTATTTTTTTTATTCTATTTTTATCAATTTAAATAATCATGATATTCAACCACGTGCATTGTACGTGCATCTCAACTAATATATATATATATATATAATATATATATATATATAAATATATATATATATATATATATATATATATATATATATATATATATATAGTATAGAGTGAGAGAGAGAGAGAGAAATGGAGAAACTTGGTACCAAGTTGCTCCAAGTAACTGGTAGTGATGTGGCCTAATCTTGTCCCTACATCTACATTGGAGTTAGTGAATGGTGGTTGATGCTCTATCTTCGAGGTGTGATGTAGGGGCAAGATTAGGTCACATCACTACAAGTTGCTTTAAGTACTGGTACCAAGTTCTCCATTTTTCTCATATATATATATATATAATATATATATATATATATATATATATAATTATATATATTCAAAACTCATGTTTCTCTATAGAACTTATGGTTATCTCAAAATCCTATACCTACACACACACATATACATATATATATAAGAATAATGGGTATTCTTGATACCAACTACCAAGCACTAAATTTGGTGCTTGGTTGTGAGGTGACTACTTCTCATCCACTCATTCAATGGATGAGTAAAAAAGTGGGGACCATTTTCAAGTGGACATCTTTAAATGTATGGATGAGAATAAGCCACCTCACTACCAAGCATCAAAATTGTGCTTGGTACCAAGCATACACCTTATTTTGTTGAGCTTTTGACAGGCCAACATTAGCAAATAATCAATTCCTTGACAAAATTAATAATAAGAGATTCAGTTACTCCTGTTGTTCTATCATAGCTCATGAAGAAAATCTTACTGCTCTTTATAAACATTATATCCCTTGTCATTGAATTGGTCCAACATTGGCACTGAATCAAATTTTAACCGCATGCCGCTGCTTGATATAATTGCTACTCCTGTTCTAAGGACCATCATAGAGACTCTTACTCTCTTTTGTCACACACCAGCACCTATCATGCAACGTGCAATTGACTTATAGTTGCATGTGTCCTGCTGAGTTCTGAATGTGAGATCTATCACACAGACTAGGATGCTATTTTGATAAGAAAATGTTGTGGTTAGGACAAGTCAGGGTCCAGTTTAGATGCCTACTTTACTCAAGTGTAACAAAAATAAGCCTTGAGGTACCATAGTCGATGGAATTCCTGTAAGATTTTTGATAGTCAGAAATTTTATTTATCTAAATATACATATTACTGATCTACTTTCAACTTTTTAGCTTTTTTTAAATTATCATAAGATTATGTAAATAAATTATATATGTTAAATCCGCAAGAGCTAAAGGATTAACATGCTGCAGCTAAATATCAAGTATGAGGAGGTTTACAATAAAAAATTATTCTTGTGCATCTACAACTCAAAAATGATGCTTTTAGAATTTTAGCATTACCCACCAAAAAATACTAAAATGTCTAAGCACCAAACCAAGTGTTCCATATGTCATGTATTTGCGTTAAAAAAATACGCATATCCGAATAGATCGGATAAGCTATTGCATTCAGTAAAATTCAAATGCGTGAATGCAAATTCAAATGTGCTACCTAGTTGTCGGGTACTTTGGTTCAGGAGTATGCACATCCAACAGTAAAATTCAGATTGGTACCTACCTAATTGGTCAGAACTTGAAACCCAATACTCGGGTTAGTTAAGCAAGTTTTTATTTACATGACCAATTGGCAATTGCTAGACACGATCGCTTCTGTATAGTTATACCATGCGGGTAAAATGAACTGCTGGATCCACAATTTCGTAGGTTCTTTAGAGATGATCAAATTGTGTTTAGATAAATCTCAAACAAATAACATGAAACCAGTAACCAAGCAACTTTCTTAAGACTTTAATCGAGTTATTAATTGCAGGAACCTTTCTTCTATTATTGGGCTATAAATTTCAAGAATTGACTCTATTAACTTACCCAACCTTATCTAAATTAAGATCCAGCAAATGGGTTTAATACTTGAGAAACAGTCAAAGAAACACAAAAAAGGAAAGAACAATGACAAAGGTTATCATGCCAAATTTCTACAGAGGAAATTATATGCAAAAGAAAAACTTGGTGTAAGGCTGAAAGCTTGTGATAGCTTAAGGAAATGTACTTTACCAGTCTTGCAAGCTCCTACAGATGAGAAACCATAAAATTCACCAACACTAAGAAAGAACATGTGGGAAGTGAAGATGACAGGCGAGACAAAATATAAGCCAAAGAGCTTCCTAAGAAACAAACAAAGTCATCAAGACATGAAAAGTTACTACTTACCTCAGGGGAAATCATATTCCTGGTGAGTTGTGTCAACAGAGAGTTCCTAGAACAGTTCGGTGGGTTCCATACAACAACACCTCCCCACATCTATAGAATCCATCAAACAAATTTCATACATAAACAACATGATGTACCAGGTAAAGAGAACAAGAGTATTTGGGACTTTTTCTTACTGGTGATATAAACCCATTGGTCTTGGAAGTATCTCCATTTGGAAGCCGCAGGAGGAGTGGGCATTCATCAACTGATGGCACATACCTATTATACATTGCCCAATTTAATAACAAAACAATATCTTGGAATCAGTAAATGTACACATTTTTTACTTTTTGGTATAAAATAAACACTCTTATGGACTTTTCAGTCTGCCCCTGGTGCAAATGAAGAAAACCATACTGGAATAATAATAATAATAATTACAAATCATAACTTTTACAATTCATCTCATTCCAATAAGAGTTGAGGATACATGCACAACGGACATCTGGCTCATTCAAAAGTAAAGATTAGAGGGTATAACATTATCATGCTCTATCAGACGTATAAAATCAACTGGCTATTCCAGAAATAGGTAAATCTATAGTCAAACTAGGAAAAGTTAAAAGTAATCTGGACATTTGCACAGTAGAAGATTAGCTAAAGGATCTTGACAAATTGTAAGAACTACCCATCAAACAAAACAAGATTTGCAAGGTTTTTGTTCTTAACTGACTGTGGACACATCTGGTTGCAGTTTGGCTAGACTGAAAGCCGACAACCCTGGGTAAAGAACCTTGATATCAGTTCTTTTCATTGGCAATCGTTTTCTTCTCATATCATTACGAATACACCTGGTTGCAGTTTGGCTAATAAGCTGAAGCCTTCAGTATATATGCAACATCTACCCTTGGGTGGTGATGTGGGGGAGGTTCTAAGAACCTTTTTTTGGGTGTCCAGTTATTCTTTTGGAACCCTTTTTTGGGTATAAATGACCTTTTCTTGGAAATATTGAACATATTGGCAAAAATTAAATGGAAATAATAAACCTATCAGTTTAATTGTCTCTCTTATGCATACAGCAGGATATTAAATAGATCCAAACACTGGCTATGGATGAGATTTCAAATCCTGCAGGGTGTGACCTGGCTATGGACAGGATTTCAAAGAGAAGAAAGGAAAAGGATTCCATATAGAAAGATATGATATCGCTTTTCACCCCATTTCTTGTTGCTACCTAAATCTAGGGGAATTGGGGACTCTTCATCCAGCTGGCTTCAAAGTCACATGTAGAACATTATCTTACATAAAAATACCAAGACAGAAAGCTGGTGTGATTAATAATAAAGATTTTTGACATATCTGAGTACAATGTACGGGTATCAGCAAAGAGACCATTATTTTGTGGGAGGTATTCACCTGGAAAAATTTAGCTCAGGTCATTATATATAAATGTTTAACACTCTCAATACTTGAAATATGAGGTTGTCGGTAGTAAATTAATTCCTAGCCAGAGGATCTTTAGCTAAATAGTTTTTCTTGCTTTAGTTTTTCTATGGACCTAATATTTTTTGCTACCACTCTGACAAAAACTAACATCTCTGACATTAGCTTATGGGTATAATCGATGAGGAAAGAATATTAGAGCTATTAAAGTCTTGCATTATGTATAATAGATGATCACATCAGATGGAAAGACAGTGGTCTAAACTCTCATAGATAATTGGGAACCAATATCCTAGAGATAGAAGTTAATATCCTGACAACTCCTGTTAATCTAAGTTATAGGAAGGTCTAAAATCAGCCAACAATATAAGATTTGAAGGATACTGATCACGTCCATCTGAAATCAGCCAACGCAGCCAATGTTACTGATGATGACTAATACAGAAGAACATTTAAGGATATGAGAAATAAAGTTAATTTCATGGAGTTGTACAGGAAAATTAAGATGAGAAAATATTGAATAATAGTGTCACGTTGGATTAATCTCCTTATTTGTTTGGTTGCTTCCAATGTAATAAACCACATCATATTTGGTTTATTTCAACATCACTTATTACTATACAGATTTTTAACCGACAATTTCGATCCACCCTAACTGTTTAAATTGAATCAAACCTGTTATATAACTAAAAATCCTTTCACGTTATTTAGAATCCGCTAAAAATATGGAATATGTTATAAGTAACACACCTTAAAATTAGTCATTGAAACTTTTAACTTCTCTAATTATTTGTCTAAGTTAGAATCAATAACTCAAATGCAATATCTATTTTAAAACACTGTTGATGCATCAACTATTTGAGTGTGTATGTTTTCCAACTTAATGCAAATTTTGCTTCCTCTTTAGCTGCTGATAAGAAAGAACCGGATAATCCTGATTCTAAACAAGCAAAGCAACCAAAAACCAAATACCAACCCAAAAGTGGAGTATCAGAACCACCTGAGTTACTAAGAATTTAGATCTTGAATTTTAGTCTATTGTACAAGTTCATGGCTTCCAAAATATATATAGTTTGCCAGTGTTCTAAAACACGGCATATACGGCCGCATACTTGGCCGCATATGCAGAATCGGCCCATTTCCGCTTGGAAATGGGCTGATTCATTGAAATATGCGGTCAGCCGCATAATGGTGATGAAAACGCATACTCGCCCGCATAAAAAGATTATGCGGGCGAGTTTTAGTTAGGGTTTGAGTGGGTTTCAAGTTCAAAAATCTGAACCCGCAAGTTTTTAAACCCGTTTTTAAAAAAAAAACCAAACCCAACAAGGGTTTCTTTCCCCAAATTGTTGGCCTCCCCCATCTATCTGTCTGTCTCTCCCACTCGCTTTGCATTTTTCTTAGTATATCTTCTGTCTTTTATGAATTATATACATTTTTATGTATGAAAAATAATAAATATATGTTAAAAATTCAAAAACGCACAATTCCACATAATCCAATTAATCGGCGCATAATCCGATTAATCGTGACCTCTCGAACCGCACGGATAATAAAACCGTGTTTTTGAACATTGTAGTTTGCTTTGTAGAAGGATATCTTTAGTTAAGACATTGGATACAGCAACATTTGTAGATGACTCCTCATGACATGAAATGTTGTAATTTCAGATAATGATACCAAATATACTAGTACAGTGAGGTGGATATCAAAGCTTATAAGATGATCATGCCAAATCCTCCAAATTTTATAGGCTAATAATTTATTAAAAACTAACATGGTTCAGTTTAGAAACAAATAAATAACAATAAAAATATATGAAGAATATACAAAAATTGTTGGATGAAAAAATATACACCACAAATTGTAGAACTTTTGATCGTCCAGTAACAGCAACAGATGTATCCAAATGCCACTCGTTTGAATTTACCTACAAACATTCCAAAGATAGTAGAATGTCAATTAAAATTTTGACACTATGTGATATCAATTTATACACAAAGACATCTTTATTCATGTTGGAATATGAGAGACATAGAGCTTAATGGATATCGAAGGGGCCAAATCCCTGAGAAGTCTAGTTATATGCCGACAAAGAAACATAGAAAAAGTTATTCTCAATAGTAACAAGCATATTTGCAATTTAATTGATAACACCAGCAACTACCAGACTGATTTCATAAAGTGCACATAACCACTTAAAAAGAACCAGGGCCCAAGCAAGATACTGGGTCAAATAAACCGAGTCTATTAGATGAGGAAGCCACACAATAACATTGGTCCCAGAAAGAATCTATTATGCTTTGTCTATGACATTTGCAAACTAAAAAAGAAGAGCAACTTGGTTTATTAACATGTAAGTACAAGAGAGAAGGTAGAAGCCAAAATTTTGAAATTGTGATGCTATAGACATGCATTTAAAAGAAAATCACAAATACCTACAAGACCAGTGATATCAATTTTACTAAATTCATCACGAAGTTAATGAAATCACACAAAAGTGTGATTGTAGAATTATCTCGAAAGCAATATGTGTGGATTTTGCTTCAGTTTGGATTGTACTTGCAACAAATAGATTGCATAATATTTTATCTGCTACTACCAAAACTTTAAGATTTCTATTAATAATAATTAATATCATTACAACATCAACCATAAAGGCATTTTGACAGGACTAGAACTGAGGATTATTGTCAAATACTGATTAAGGCCTACAAGTCTCGAGACACCCATATTTTATGCTAGCTTAACGAGTAATGATCAGTAATGCTCATTTGTTGTTTGGACTGTTGCATGCTAATACTTACCTCACCTATCTGTTGCATATGCACTAGGCTAAAATTGTTATAACATGTTTCTTTTCAAGAATTTCAATTTTGAATTTTGATATTTCAATGTTCACATGTGTTCTGAGTTATTTATAATGAAGTGCATCTGACTCTGCTGCTAAAGAGACAGGGCATGTATGTGAGAATTCAACAGCCCATTTACAAAATAAAGAAGTAGAAACAACCAATTACGACAAAATAATTAAGAAAGTGTGTGAACCTTTGGACGAAGTGTTCAATGGAACTTTGACAATTAAAATTCAGCACTACATATGAAGATAAACCAACTAAAATATTTTGAGTAGATTGAAAAACATCAACAATTTCAGAGATAAAAGTTGTAGCAGAAATAAATGCTCCCAAACTGAAACAATATTATTTTGAAGACTATGATAATTGTAACCAAAATATGGTTAAATGGGCATGTTGCCTGTTGTTATATATGACTGCTGTACAAGGCAATAAATATGCTGCAAGGTGGAGTCAAAATATAAGAAATCCATTGAGCTCATCCAAGCCATGTCAAGCTGGGCAAAGTACTGTTGGCAAAGAAAATTTAGGCCAGCATTGAATATTCACTTGATTTGAATAGAAAAGAAGACGGCATTGTAAATAGAGTAAATGAGGTGGAGAGCCATGAAGAGAGGGAATGAGAAAAGGGAATGCGGGAGGAAGGGATCTAAGGTTATCTAGGATTTGGATGCTTAAAGAGTGCAACACACATGGTTACTTTATTAAAAACGCAATGCTGGTGTAATTTAATTCATGGAGTGTATGAAGAAACACATTTTGGTACAATAAACGAAAAATGATTTACTCATGAACAGTGTATAGAAACTGGTTGGGTGATGAAATATGAGTGCACAACTTATGCACCTTTCAGAAAATTGAGAATATTACTGTGCTAACTATGGTGGTCCTCCCAACAATCATGATCATGCAAGAACCACAATAAGCTTAGGACAGAATCAGAGGGGCACGCAAGGATGATAGGTCCTTAACTGCAATAATAACAACGTTACAAGACGTCAAAAGAACATATGGGAATCACAAAAGGGACAAAGGGGAACAGCTGTAACGGAATGACTGTCGAAGTCAAATAGAATTAAACAACAGTGAACCAGTTGCTAAAGTATGCAATTTTTGTGTTTTCAATTTCTGGTCGTTTCAGTGAACCAGTTGCTAAAGTATGCAATTTTTGTGTTTTCAATTTCTGGTCGTTCCTTAGACGAGAACGCACCAGTCCAACAATAGATATTGCAATCCACTCACAGGTTTGAATTATATATTCTAGACAAGTTCAAGATTTCTAGCCCTTGAATCTGTATATTCACTAAATTGTTTTTTGAACATACGCATAAAAAAAATATAGTGAGTGCTAAAAATTAAACTGCACATGTATAGTTTAGCCATAGATGTACTCAACAATAGCGACATTTAACGAACATACAAAAAAAGGAAGATCCCTCGTACTAAAGACATAGCTGCTCAAATTGTCATCCCAACTAGATATCGATGACTTTGGAGTATGGTACAGAACCTGCCAAGAAACCAGAAACACTGTTAACGTTGATGCCCCTTGTACTGCAAAACTATTTATAAATCATTTGAAAAGTTCTCCAAATGTGGAACAAAACAATTTGATAATCATTTATCTAAATTGCAATAAGTACAGACAGTCCAATGAAAAAAGAAAAACTATTTGGCAATCACTCATCTAAACTAAAACATCTTTTGCTGATATAAAATTAGAAACTTTCATATTGTAAATTCCACTTAAAAAGTCTATACAGTTTCTCTACTTCCCTAGAAGCATTGACACTCTGGAAAGATTTCATTTCTGTATGGAAATTGTATCATTTACCTAAACTTAGATAGCGTGGATGGTCCAATGAAAAAAATGTATATATATTTGGTGAAGACTCATCTAAACTCAATAATATAAAATTAGATACTTTCATATCATAAAATCTTCTTGAAGCTTACTTTCTGTGTAGTCTCTGCTTCCCTAATAGCATTGACACTCTAGGAGATGTTCCCCTTTTGTATGAAAATGTCTACCTTTGACTGGATGTGTCTCCCTTCAACTAACAGTTGTTTGGTCAAAGTTTATTTTTGGTTAACTTCAGTACACCCCCCCCCAAAAAAAAAAAAAACAAAAAAAACAACTATTTTTATTTCAATAAACCCTCCTCAATAGAAAACACCACTTAACTATGGGGTGTCTCACAAAACCCCCATGGTCTTTACACTTTTCTAAAAAAAAACCAATGTTACATCAAAATGTGAAATGACCTAAATCTCCTTTTTGGGAAAAAAAATCCACTCGGTTAAAGCAAACCTCCTAGATAGAACAAAAAAACCTGAGCCATTAATGGTGCTGTGAAAATCTATGCTAATTTTTTTATGCCTGAGGGGTATCAAAGTTGCTTTAAGCCACGTCCTTGTCACATGACACGTTCGACTAAACGTTGTTAAGAGAGGTTTATGTGAGAAAAGTTCAGAGGGGTTTTCTCAAATTTACAAAGTTGAAGGGGTTATCTACAACACCATCAAAGTTGAGGGGGTTTCCTCAAATTAAAATAGTTGAGGGGGGGGCGTCTAAATCAATCATTTGTTATCCCTGTAAAACATTATCAAACGTCTTTAAACATAGTGGATATGAGAGAAACATTAGTGCATATTCAAAATCGGAAGTTCTTCCTACCTGACTTTCTGTTCTTATGTTGGCTATAGGTGCTAAAGCCTCCACTACAGGAGCCAGAATAAGCTTTTCAACCTTTTGCATCTCCCTGCAAGTAGAAAGAAAATGTACAATCTCTGTAAACTTGAGACATAAATTATGCACGTCTGAATATCAAATATTTGTTTTCAAGAAAAAAAGAGAATTTTTTTGAATGAGCACACAGATAGCATGAAACCAGGTTCCTCCTTCCCTCTCCAAAGACTTAAATGAGAAGAAATAGAGCAACACGCTCTGACTGTGATACAAAGTGCTGAAGAAGAGGTGGAAATATCATCAGAATTTTAGAAATTTATGACAAAGGCTCTAAATAGACTTCTAACTAGGAAAAGAAACGAAATAATGTAAACAGGCCATATAACTTCGCCATTCTATCATAAATAATGGGAAATTATCATTATGTCGTTTTTCCTAGTAGAATGGGTTTTTCAAGAAGCACAATGCTCCATGAAAAAACTGATTCCATGATGGCTATCAACTTGATCTCAAATTTTTAAAGTTAGTAAAAACTCCCTTTGAGGAAGCCATGGACAAGCAATGCTTGCAATAAATCATAGGAAGGCCGGTCAGCATTTAAAAAAAAAACTCATCCTTGTTTATTTCTCATGCAACACGTAGAAACTCTCTCAAAAGTTGGAAAAAAAATATGTCTAAAGAATCCTCCTCACCAATCATAAACCCAATCATTGGGACCGGCATTCAACAAGCTGAGTGAAAGTACGAGGTTCCCATCCAATCCAACCGGCATGAAATCCTCTTCCTCCTTATTCTCCTCCCTCCCACCTCTCATAAACATCTTCGCAAAGATCTCGGAGACCATCTCCACAGCCGCCTCCTCTGATACCCTCCCCACAATCCAGGCATGCCGGTGCTTGCCCACCACCACTCTCACCTCCTCCTGCAACATTGCATCAGCAGCAAGTCAAGAGCCAAGTAAAAACTCAAAAGTTTTAACAATTTTTAACTTTGATGCTTATCCCAAAGTTTTTAAGACGTAGTTTAACTACTTGACTGAGAAGCAGTAAAATGACACTAATACGCCATTAAATTTCAAATATTGACTATGAACATTGTTGAAGAGAGAGGGTTGTTTCTAATATAGCTCATTCACAAATTCCAGTCATTTTGCATTTGGAGAAGTGAAGAAACAAACTAATACTTTTAATTTCAATGAATTTAGGCTTAGACAGAGGGAGGAGAAAGAGACGCCGGGAATTTCTTCTCAACCTAGGGATAAAACAATACGGATTTTACCTACAATCATGATATCAAAGTTAAAAATCGGTGAAATTTTAGGGTACTAATGTAGAGCTAACCTCTTTCACCGCAACGACCACAGTGTAAATCCTAGCGGCGGCGCCAATTCTCAAATCCAGCAGCTCATCCACAGCATCATCGTCGACATCTCCACTAAATTCAATGCCGTTGCGAGCACCGCACTTCCAGATGCCATCTTCAGTGGATTCGCATCCGCCGGGGGAATCCACAGTGACTGAGATCGTGACGCTGCTGCAGGTTGACGACGAGGACGTCGATTGAAGGAGGCTGCGGGCTAGGGCTTGGGGGGGAGAGAATGAGGATGAGGAGGAGGGGAGAAAGACGGCGTGGAATCGGCACGGAAATGAGAGGTTTTGGCGGGAGGAGATGGCGCCGGCGAAGGGGAGAGGGGAGCGGTGGATCTCGGTGGATTTCAAGAGAAAGGGGATGCCTGAGGTTAGAATTGGGAGAAAGAGATGAGGAAATCTTAAGCTTCATTTCTTGGAGAGTTAGGGTTTCGATTGCTCACCTGAGAGGAAAGAGAGGAGGACGGAGAGGGTTAGAAAGAGGCGCTTGGTTCCAGGCTTTGTCTTCCTTTGACTGCTACCATCAATAGAAGAAGGACTTGACGGAGGCTTCGGAGGAGGGACCTCCTCCTCGATCGCCATCGTCCTTGCTTCCGATTCTTGTTCTTTTGTTAGAGCAAGTGCAGCAATCTACTGCTAGGGAGCTCTGCTTGGAGTGCTCTCAAGCATAGGACCTTTCGTACTAAAAAAAATATTCTAACAAACTCTTAACTAGGAGCATAAATATGGACAAATTTTTAAAACAACACCTTTTGCGATTTTATTCCCAAAAAACGATCCATTTCCCACTTATTTGTAAAAACCGACCTGGTTTCCCAGGTCGGTTTTTACAAAAAAAGTTCCGAAACTTCACGGGAGTTGAACTCCCGTGAAGTTTAGCAATCATTTAATTAAGATGCTAAACTTCACGGGAGTTCAACTCCCGTGAAGTTCCACAGCTCAACTTTTTTTTAACTAAGAAACTTCACGGGAGTTCAACTCCCGTGAAGTTTAACATCTATTTAATTAAGCTGCTAAACTTCACCGTGAAGTTTTGAAACTTTTTTTGTAAAATCCGGCCTGGTTTCAGCGCTGAGGGTGAAACCACGTCGGTTTTTACAAATAAAGAGGAAAGAGGTCGTTTTTTGAGAATAAAATCGCAAAAGGGGTGGTTTTGAAAATTTGTCCGCATAAATATTATTTGAAAAAGGGAAAAATGTGTCCAGGCCCCAAAAGTGGAAACTTCGTGCGACTAGCCCCCTGTATTTTGCCCCATGTGGAATAGCCCCAAATACGTATAGTATTTGCGACAAGGCCCCGAATTGACTTTTTTTCAGAAAAAGCCCAGAGGAAGTTACGATCTTGCCCTCTGATGGGACTGAGCTGGGTTAATGTGCCCCTCACCTTTACAAGTACTCTCCCTCTCTTTCTCTCTCTTCCACCTAGCACCGCCATCAAAAACTCTTCATCTTCCTAATTTCTGTACGGATTTCAACGTTTCTAGGGTTTTTGCCGAAAAAATATCGTCTACGGAAGAATCCAGTAACGACTACGAGGTCGGGCACCAAGCCGAGTTGGAAGGAAAAGGCGCTTCATCTGCGGGTGGCAGCACGGAGGAAGCTACGGAAGCTACGAAAACCCTAATCGAAATGCAAAAGGAGGCATTACAATGGCGAGACCAGAAAAGGAGGACGACAATGGCTGGTCGTACCAACAAACCCCCCTCAAAAAAACAGTAAGTGTTATGTTATACCGCGAAGAGACAATGCAGATTAACCCAATATTGTTAGTTCTAGGCTTTGTCTAATGTTAGTTCTAGTTTGAGACCAACGTTAGTTCTAGTTTAAGTCCAATGTTAGTTCTACTTTGAGTCCAATGTTAGTTCTATAATATTACGTGTTAGCTCTATTTTGTTCCCGTTAGTGCTAGGTCTAATATTGTTAGTTCTAGGCTTTGTCCAATGTTAGTTCTAGTTTGAGTCCAATGTTAGTTCTAGTTTGAGTCCATTGTTAGTTCTATAACACTACGTGTTAGCTCTATTTTGTTCCCGTTAGTGCTAGGTCTAATATTGTTTCATATGTCTTATTGAACTTACAAATTCGAAAATTTTTTGCAGGGAAAAAATTGCTCTAACAGGCTCAGCAGAAACACTAAGGTTAACGGCCAATATCGGGGCTTATTGGGCATTTATGAAGCGCCTTGCCCCGAAGATCCGTCAGTGGCATAGGGATGCATACTGCGGTTCTATATTTCAGCACTACATTTTGTTTGGGGCTCCTGCGCCTGATCGGCCCACCCTTGAGCTGCTGCTGAGCTTTTTCGATAGAGATAATAACACCTTTTGTATACCTGATTCAAAAAGTGGGGGTATGAAAAATGTTAGTTTTGATTTGCAATGGGTCCACAACCATACTTATTTCCCAATTTATGGGGAGGACATAAGGAACAATAGGGACTCAAGAAGCAGAATATGGCTGGAATACTTCGCTAAGCTTTTCATTTCTGAAGAGGGTAAGAAGTTAAAAAAAGCAGAAACCAGCCAACGTAAACATCTTGAAGGGCTACTTGAACGGCTAGTTGAATCTATAAAAAAGCGGGATATCGAGGATTTTGTTCTGCTACAAATTTTGTACCAATGCTCTATGATATGGAGTCCCATAACAGGGGAAGGTATCCCTAGACCCTTACTCAGGTACCTGGATAGCATTCAGAGGGTCAATTCTATTGCATGGGCCCCGTTCTTTTATAATGAAATTATCAGGGGCATTGGAATTGCTTTGGAGGGAAAGAAGAAGCAAAGGGTCGCATATGTCCCAGGTTGCATGACACTATTGTGTGTAAGTTCCATATTTTACTGATCTTGTTTCATTCTAGTTCGTACCTATGCATTGTTAGTTCTAACTTATTCTATGTTAGTTCTATTCTGTAGCGTGTTAGTTCTAATCTGCACAGTGTTAGTTCCGTTCTGTAGAGTGTTAGTTCTAATCTGCACAGTGTTAGTTCTATTCTGTAGAGTGTTAGTTCTATTCTGCACAGTGTTAGTTCTATTCTGCAGCGTGTTAGTTCTAATCTGTCTGTAACGTGTGAGTTCTAATTTGCACCTTGTTAGTTTTAAGATATACCATGTTAGTTCTATCTGCACCCATGTAAGTTCTATCATAGGTCATGTTAGTTCTATCATAATTCATGTCGTACCACGTACTAATTTACACCATGTTAGTTCTAGATGCAGCCATATTTTATTCTCTTTGGTCTAGTCTAGTATTAAATGTTAATGGTAAATATATTATTTGGTACAATTTTGGTACTACGAGATGACAGGCATAAAGAAATATGCCCTCTTAGACACCTCCAGACCTCCAATGACAAATTGGGCATCAGGGGAGGAGAAAATCGCATCTATGAGGATGCCGACAATTATTTCAAAGGCTAAGTCAGCGTCAATAACATTTGTCCATAGGCCTATTGCGGAGGTCGCTTCTCCTGGTCATGTTCATTCACTTCCCGCTGAACAAAGGGATGAAGTTCTTCAGCAAAAGCGTCAGGCAAAGAGGAAGGCTTTCCAGGAAGAAACTACTAAGAACTTCTCAATAGGTTACGTAAGTATCCTGTTATGTTAAGTCGTACTCATTTCACACTAACTGCAAAGAATATCCTAATTATGTTTAATCCTACTTAAAATTATAATCTTGTATTAATAATAGATCATGGCAAAGCATATTGACGTTGTTTTTGACGATGAAGAGGAGATCAATGTTCTTCCCATTGAGCAGCAACTCACATTTTGGAGAAATTCTGCTAAATTTCTCAAGCGACTTCTTGTTGCTACAAAGCAGACCAAGAGCAAATATTGTAAAGAATTCATGATTGAGATCAACAGGCTTAACAGGATAATTGAAAAATGTGGAAGACATGATGAGGTTATAGACCCAGTGCTGCTTAAGTCAAATATCAAACAGAAAATTGCAAATGAAATTAGGAAGAAGCGACAGGGAGTGAAGCATCCTGCTGACGATGAGGCAATAGAAGAGGAGCCTGTTACTTCTCCAGGGGAGGGGGTATATAGTAAGGTTGACCAGACTGTAGATACTAAGGTTGAGGATAGTGTAAATAAGGAAGAGGAGCATATGGAACATATTGTAGATATGGAAGAGGAGCATATGGTAGATAAGGAAGAGGAGCATATGGAAAATGAAAATTTTATTGTAGATAACAAAGGTTTTGATGAGGATCCTGTTGATGGTGTAGATAAGGAGGAAGATATTGTAGATAAAGAGAAGGAGAATGTAGATAAGTTGGAAGAACAGGAGGAAAAAATTAAACATGATGTGGACAAACTTGTAGAAGTTCTAACGAGCAATGTGGAAGCAAAGAGTCCTGAACCAAAAGTAAAACTAGCTGAAAAAGTTACTCATTTTTATCCCGGTATTCAAATCCCCACTTTTGATGCGTTGAGTTTCAAGCCAATGACAGATGAAGAGGAAGCTCTATTGGGAGAGCTGAATAATGAGCTTCCAGACCCTACATTGTTTAACTTACGCATAATAGATAGCACAGGTGCTTTTGTACATAATTTAAAGATACCATCTCCCGTAGCAGAAAGACTCGACAAAGCTGAAATTGATAGCCTAACCAAATTTTGTTCTCAGAAGATTCACAAGTAAGTTTCAGTTGACTATTTATATGCTAATTCTCCACATATTAGTTCTAATTCATGTTAGTTCTAATTTATACCAGGAGATATAATGTTATAGTAACAACCAACAGCACTATTAACAGGGAAGAGTTGTTATATGTGCTTCGTGGTGGCCGCCTTGACGACAAGGTTAACATATACTTCCTTAATAATTCAAATTATATTGTTTAAATTGAATTTTAATGTTTCATAACAATTACAGGTGGAAGAAGCAGTTTTGGACACGATTAGCCAGGAGGCATATGGCAAAGGATATGGAGTGGTATCGGTGTTCTTTCTTGTAAGAACATGCTATTCCTAATTTCACCACGTTAGTTTTGATTGAAATTCATGTTAGATCTTGTGTAATCCATGCTAGTTATACCATGAGTCACGTTAGTTCTAGTTAGCATCAATTTAGACCTACCATAAGTCATGTTAGGTCCGTTCTGTAGAGTGTTAGTTCTAATCTGCACAGTGTTAGTTCTATTCTGTAGAGTGTTAGTTCTAATCTGCACAGTGTTAGTTCTATTCTGTAGAGTGTTAGTTCTAATCTGCACAGTGTTAGTTCTAGTCTGTACAGTAATTACAGGTGGAAGAAGCAGTTTTGGACACGATTAGCCAGGAGGCATATGGCAAAGGATATGGAGTGGTATCAGTGTTCTTTCTTGTAAGAACATGCTATTCCTAATTTCACCACGTTAGTTTTGATTGAAATTCATGTTAGATCTTGTGTAATCCATGCTAGTTATACCATGAGTCACGTTAGTTCTAGTTAGCATCAAATTAGACCTACCATAAGTCATGTTAGTTCCGTTCTGTAGAGTGTTAGTTCTATTCTGTAGAGTGTTAGTTCTATTCTGCACAGTGTAATTAGTTCTATTCTGTAGAGTGTTAGTTCTAATCTGCACAGTGTTAGTTCTATTTTGTAGAGTGTTAGTTCTATTCTGCACAGTGTTAGTTCTATTTTGTAGAGTGTTAGTTCTATTATGCACAGTGTTAGTTCTATTCTGTAGCGTGTTAGTTCTAATTAATACGGTGTTAGTTAGCCTTCGTAGCTCATGTTTGTTTTAATTTCAACTCAAACATGATGTGTTTGCAGCACTCACTCTATGGCTTGGAGGCGAACAATTACGAGCTATATTTGTCATTCATTGACAAATATACCGCATTCCATATGGAGCATCTCTTGATCCCTTTGGTCAGGCACGATCTTTGGCATCTTGTAGAAGTTGATCTTAAAGATAAAGTCGTCAAGCATTACAACTCCGCTCGGCACGAAGCTTGGATGGAGCCTGTTAATAAAATCATAAACTTCTTTGATGCCCATCATGCTGATTTTATTGAAGATAATGTGCGCAAAATATTTAGATATCAAGCCATCAAATGCGAGCAACAAAGAGGACGGTTAGTTCCGATGTCTATATTGTGTTAATTTGTGTTATAGCATTAGAACGGACCGAAAATGTCTAATGAACTCACTCTATGTTGCAGCTTTGACTGTGGTATGTTCGTCTACCTCTTTGTAAAATCCATAATTGAAGGACGATCAACATTGCTGGTTAATCCTCCAAACGATATCCCTGAAGCTATGCGAGCAAGACTTGCCGCACAATTATTACTGGCTGGTTTTGAACAAAGACATAAAGAAGAAACAGTGTACAGTGATGAATGATATGTTCATACAAATACAATAATGTATGTATATTTAAGTAATTGAAAATGATTGTTATCAGATGTATTGTTCTATCTGTACCATGTTCGTTCTAGTGATGCTCGTTAGTTCTAACTCATTCAACGTTAGTTCTATTCTGTACCATGCTCGTTAGTTCTATCTCATAGCCAGTTCTAATTTTTTAATTATTTAAGTTATCTTCAGACCTCCAGCTGCTCACTTCTTTCGAAGCGACGGTTCCATCACACTAACATATCACATCATATATTCGCTTGTTCCCAAGTCAGTTAAATAAATTAATTAACTTAAATACCAAATACGAACTGGCATCGATAGTACGGTCACCACCATTCTTCTACTGGCCCCAGCGTAGGCGCCTTTGCAAACCCCTCCCCCTGCTAAAACCGGCAACCCAGCGTCATCTATTTTCATCGTATACCCTCACAAATGGCTGGGGATCCTTTTTGTGTACACTGCCATGGGACAGGACATAGCTCTCGAGATTGTCATCATGGAATTACCGCTCGTGCCCCTCCGAGGATGCTTACCGTCCCGGCCAACACCTCCAGCATCATACGGCATCTTTCTTCTTGCGCCATCTTCAATCTTGATAGAGGTCGTCCATCTGTGCAGGAGCTCCGAGAGATGCTGGCCTACCGCTTCAATCTTAGGACATGACCCCATCAAATCAAGAAGGCGGCAGGGCACAACTTCATGGTGCAGTTTCCATCCGATGAAGTTCTTGCCCAAGCTATTGAACTCGGTTTGATAGATATGGGCACATTTAAGGGCAGATTCCGCCGTTGGAAAGAGGATCTGAGGCCAACAACATTGCCTCAACCCTTTCTAGTATGGATTCGCCTATTCAATCTCCCATACCACCTCTGGAATTTTGAATTTCTTCAATCTCTGCTCATTGGTATCGGTGAATGTGTCATGTGCTCCAGGGACGTCATAACACATTCTAACTTCAAAGACTGTAGAGTTCTACTCAAGGTTAGGGATTTATTTGAAATCCCTAAGAGGCTTGGGTTCCGTTACATCTCGCCGGTGGACAGTAACGCCAGGGAAGGATACGCCATCGCGCAGGTCCAATGCGGGGGGAATTTGGAGAGGGCTCAGGAATCCACACGACTCAACTTAGGGCCCCAGCGTGCGCAGCCCTTTAGGACCGAGCCCAAGTTAATTGAGGTTAATTGGGGTGGCAAACACATGACGGTCGAGAGAGACCAATGGCAGCTGTTTCTCCGTAACCAAGGGGTCGGGGGTGCCAATTCTTGTTCCTCTCCCTTTAAACTCCGTCGTCTCCCACAGTGGCTCAGCGGAATCCAGTTCTCCTTCCTCAAAGCGCAGTAAGCCAGGACCTTCGAAAAGGAAGGCGAGTGACAGCGAAAAGGGTTTATTAGACCCAAACCGATCCAGCGAGGGCAGCAACAAATGAAGACCTGGCATCATTGCGTGTTAGTTCTTGTTAAATTTTGCTTATCCAGAAAACAGTTTGTTACAAATCTTAACCCAAATACAGAGAATCGTGTTAGTTCTTATATATTATTATAACTAATGTTGTGTTAGTTCCAATCTGCACCCTTTTAGTTATATATTATAACATGTTAGTTCTATTCTGTAGAGTGTTAGTTCTATTTTGCACAGTATTAGTTCTATTCTGTAGAGTGTTAGTTCTAATCTGCACAGTATTAGTTCTATTCTGTAGAGTGTTAGTTCTAATCTGCACAGTGTTAGTTCTATTCTGTAGAGTGTTAGTTCTAATCTGCACAGTGTTAGTTCTATTCTGCACAGTGTTAGTTCTATTCTGTAGAATGTTAGTTCTAATCTGCACAGTGTCAGTTTTATTCTGTAGAGTGTTAGTTCTAATTTATACCAAGTTAGTTCTAGTTTATACCAAGTTAGTTTATTTTATACCACGTTATAAACCTAATTTATACCAAGTTATATCTAATTTATACCACGTTAGATCTAATTTATACAACGTTAGTTTATTTTATACCACGTTATAAACCTAATTTATACCACGTTATATCTAATTTATGCCACGTTAGATCTAATTTATACCAAGTTATAAACCTAATTTATACCACGTTATATCTCATTTATACCAAGTTTTAAACGTAATTTATACCACGATATATCTCATTTATACCACGTTAGATCTAATTTACTAATTTATACCAAGTTAGTTCTATTTTATACAACGTTAGATCTAATTTATACAAAGATAGTTCTAATTTAAACAAAGTTTGTTCTCATTTTATACCAAGTTAGTTCTAATTTATACCAAGTTAGTTCTAATTTATACCAAGTTAGTTCTAATTTATACCAAGTTAGTTCTAATTTATACCAAGTTAGTTCTAATTTATACCAAGTTAGTTCTAATTTATACCAAGTTAGTTCTAATTTATACCAAGTTAGTTCTAATTTATACCAAGTTAGTTCTAATTTATACCAAGTTAGTTCTAATTTATACCAAGTTAGTTCTAATTTATACCAAGTTAGTTCTAATTTATACCAAGTTAGTTCTAATTTATACCAAGTTAGTTCTAATTTATACCAAGTTATTTCTGTTCTGTAGAGTGTTAGTTCTAATCTGCACAGTGTTAGTTCTATTCTGTAGAGTGTTAGTTCTAATCTGCACAGTGTTAGTTCTATTCTGTAGAGTGTTAGTTCTAATCTGCACAGTGTTAGTTCTAATCTGTAGAGTGTTAGTTCTATTCTGCACAGTGTTCGTTCTAATCTGTAGCTTGTGATGGCTTGTTAGTTCTATTTTATTACACGTTATATCTAATTTATACCACGTTATATCTAATTTGTGTTAGTTCTATTTTATATCACGTTATAAACCTAATTTATACCATGTTATATCTAATTTATACCACGTTATATCTAATTTATGTTAGTTCTATTTTATGCCAAGTTATAAACCTAATTTATACCACGTTATATCTCATTTATACCAAGTTAGTTCTAATCTACACCATGTTATTTCTAATTTATACCAAGTTAGTTCTATTTTATACCACGTTATAAACCTAATTTATACCACGTTAGATCTAATTTATACCAAGTTAGATCTATTTTTTACTACGTTATAAACCTAATTTATACCACGTTAGATCTAATTTATACCAAGTTAGATCTATTTTTTACTACGTTATAAACCTAATTTATACCACGTTAGATCTAATTTATACCAAGTTAGATCTAATTTATACAACGTTAGTTTATTTTATACCACGTTATAAACCTAATTTATACCACGTTATATCTAATTTATACCACGTTAGATCTAATTTATACCAAGTTATAAACCTAATTTATACCACGTTATATCTCATTTATACCAAGTTTTAAACGTAATTTATACCACAATATATCTCATTTATACCACGTTAGATCTAATTTACTAATTTATACTAAGTTAGTTCTATTTTTTACAACGTTATAAACCTAATTTATACCACGTTATACCTCATTTATACCAAGTTAGTTCTAATCTACACCATGTTATTTCTAATTTATACCAAGTTAGTTCTATTCTTTAGAGTGTTAGTTCTATTCTGCACAGTGTTAGTTCTGTTCCGTAGAGTATTAGTTCTAATCTGCACAGTGTTAGTTCTGTTCTGTAGAGTGTTAGTTCTAATCTGCACAGTGTTAGTTCTATTCTGTAAAGTGTTAGTTCTAATCTGCACAGTGTTAGTTCTATTCTGTAGAGTGTTAGTTCTATTCTGCACAGTGTTCGTTCTAATCTGTAGCTTGTGATGGCTTGTTAGTTCTATTTTATTACACGTTATATCTAATTTATACCACGTTAT